TGTTTTTGGTCAAACTCAAATTCAGTGTGTGGAGCGCCAGCAGCTCGAGGCAGCAGTGTTGGAGTTTTCCACTTTTCTCTCCTGTAGCTGGACTCACTCAGATCGGAGGAAGCTGCTAGTTCGGTCCATACTTAGTCGGATCCTCTGTTCTTCTCTTTTTGCTGAGAAAAAAGAACAATCTGTTTCCTAGTTCACTTCACGCAAGTTAGGTAAGGAGAAAAATGTTGCTTCATTTGTAATGCTTCATTCCAGATGTCAAATGTCATCCTGCCATTTTCTAAAAAGCTGTAAAACAGCTTTTCCTCCATTTCAGCTGGACAGGTCACAAAATGAAAACTTTTGTAAAACTTATAGCCGCTACTTCACACATAAACGAGAGTGTGTTTCATTCCAGAGTTCAGTTGTTTAGCTGCCAGCAACTGTAAAACAGGTCACAGTAGTCACACAGGTCCCTCAGCGGTGCAGCTGTTTGACAGGTTCTATTTTCGTCTTTGTTCTGGTTATTTGTTAGGTTCCCCAGCAGTGAGAGCGTAATGCATTCACACTGTCATGGGCCTGGGTCCCCAGACCAAGGGCTCATGTGTTTTTGTGGACTTGTTTATTTTTTTGAGCTGCCATGTTGATGTCCCTCTTTCCCCTTTTTACTGGTGTGTGTGTGTGTGTGTGTGTGCAGAAAGTGACCACACAAGGCAGAGCAGAGAAGGGATGTAATCAGGTTCGAGTACACTGTTATGAGTAATCACTTTACCGTGCCAGCTTAACACACAGGACTTCCATTCATTTATAAGCCCAACCTTAAACCCAGTCTTCATCCTAAAAGAGATTTATATTCTTGGTTGTTGCTGCTTGTCTCCAGATGTGTTCACTTTCATGCAAAAGTTTTCATGCAAAGAACGTGAACCTAAAACGTATCATTAATGATTTCATTTAAAGAAAACTATAAATCAGTTACATAAAATGAATCTCAGTAACATTTGAACATAAAAAATGTACAAATGTATGTTTGTAAATTGTATGTTTATGTATATACAATGTATATTTTATCTATAAATGTACTGATATACAACTGTTTCCATTGATTTATTTTAAATACAATTAATAATAAATTTAATAATACAATTTAATTACATATACTAAGAAAGAATTACGTTTTTGCTACTTTATTCTTTAAATCTGAGCTCGAAACAGTGGGGCAGCTTAGAACTGTAGACTGTACTTACCTGGTTTAACCACTAGATGGCTCTAGACTACAACAAGTAAACAGCAGTGCTACGATGGGGAGTGTGTGCCTAAATTGGAAGGTTGCTGTGAAGTTTTCATCGGTATGAACCAGCCGTGAAGGCCCATTTGAATCTGCACAGAAACTTGTACTTTTCTTAGGACAACTAATGTCAGCTACTGGTCTTAGTTTTAATCCTTTAAACTCCTAGCTCCTAGACCCTAAAGGAAATGCCCATGCAATATTTAGACTCTAATTGGTTCTTACAAAGATAGCAATATCAGCGGCAGAGGAAGGTAATTAGGCAAGATTGCCTTTGGAGTGAACACTGCCTCTTGTAGTGGAGCTAATTATGAAAACAACCTGCAGCTACAACTGCTTTCACATCCTCGATGGAAACTCAAGTTAAGACTCACCCCAGGCTACAAACCTGCGTGCTGAACGAAAAAGCATCTGAGGCGCTGATCGGGATTTACATGTCAAAGGAAGGAGTCAGTCAAAAATCAACTTCAAAGATTACAAATCTTTGATCAACATATTAAAGAGTGTTAAGGTTTTTTTTTTTCTTTTTCATCAACAGACAATTAATCACAATTAATTTGCTGTTGCTCTTTTTTCTCTAGGACCCAACAGGATTTATCAGATTGATTTTAATCAATTGTTATGAAACCAAAAGATGGAAAGCTCTATCTGATGTTAACATGTAGACTTTTGTTATTGTCACTACATTCTTACACGTGTTTTGTAAAGACTACTTAAATTCTGGCCTTCTTTTCTGGTCAGATCTACCTGCAGAGAGGCTGAAAATCAAAATGGCTTTACTAGATGATGAAAACTTTCATTTTAATGCTTTCCTACACTTCAGTGGATTCAGTGTCTGTAACCTAAATGTTAAAGGAAGACTTAGGCAGCAACAAAATGGCAGTTTTTTTTATTTATTGAATACTTTAAATAGTTGAATACTTTTTCTGTATAAAATCACGATGCACTGTTAGCTGCAGTCCTCCTGACAATAATCAATGTAGAAGTAACAAATCTATTGATTTCTTTTTTAGTATTACTCCAGGACAGGATGTTTTTCATTTTGCCAATATAAAAATTTAATAGAAGGCAAGCCTAGAGATGTAGTTGAGCATGACTATGAGGTTTTTCCTATTAGCACAGAGAACAAGGTAATGTCATCTGGGATAAGAAGCAGAAAATTGTGTGGATTATTTCTGACTTTGTTGGAGTTTAGGTTTATTTTCCTTTGGTTTTATGACAGCCGGGGAGCAATCTGACAAACATGTGGAGCTACATGCTAGGTTGACAAAGGAGCAGTCCAATGTAGCTTTAAAAAAATTGCATTAATTAATTAGTATTTTGAGGCCTTTCACAGTATCATAAACCAACTGATTTTTGTCATTAGACTATGAAGTTGGAAATCATTTGCTTAGCCATAAATGTAGTATTTTTAGAATCCTGCCTCGTAACGTTTCGGTCTTAGCATTTACCAGTTTACCATTTAATACTGTATTTTCATGATGTGTAGGTATGTAGAGGTACTTCATGCCTTCCTTTTCCTTGGCCATCCATATTGTATTTGCCAATATATACACAATGAGCAGAATATGGGGAAAATAAAGGCACAACCAAGGCCTTAATGATAATGATTACCCATTAACATTTATATATTTTTAAAGGTATAAAAGTCAAATCAAGTTCATGGGTTTCTAAATCAGTAAGAAGCAAAAATCTAGTCTGTTTTAATATAATTAAAAGTGTCCTGTTATGTAAGAACGTTATTTTCTCCCTAAAACAGCTTCAGCTTCATAAACACACATAGTAATTAAATACCCTATATAAGTAGCTAATGATTAAACTTTGGATCAGAAGGCTCTATTTCCCGTGCGGTGCTTCACTGTGTAGACAGAAACAGCCAATTAACAGGAGAGCTGGTGCTCCAGCAGACACAGCTCAGAGATATGAGAGTGTAACCTTGAAAGCTACTACAGCAGGAGGGAAAGAATACAAACAACAAAGGTTTTTTTTAAGCAAGAAAAATAATTTATTTATAATGATATAATAATAATTTCATCACATTGGCATTGCAGAGCTGCAGAAGGAAGCGTTTGTGTGAGACGCCACCTCGCAGCAACAGATTACACCATTGGATGGGGCAAGAAAACAGGGGTTATTCAATACATACATGGAATATTCCTTTAAATATGTATTTTTCAACAAGGAATAACAAAAATAGAATAATTCCAATATCTCTGTCTGTCTCTCTTTCTCTAGGTCTCTCTAATTATCATCTCTGTGTCTTTATAAGCTGCCTGTACAGCCCCCAGTACTGGGGTTTAAATTGGGTTTGAGGGGGTTGTTTATCTCACTTTGCTTGGGGAGTAAAGTGGATGGAGTTTATCAGTGATGGACTTTATGGGCTGTTTGTCCACTGCAAGTACTAAAACACAGTAAACTTCACCCATCTGTCACTCCTGAAGCAAACACAACAAAGTCTTTTGGCCCAAATCTGCAGCCACAGCATCTCTCTATTTCTTATTGTTACTCTCAATCGCTCGCTCATAAAGCCGAGACTGTTCAAAAATAGAACAAAGTCCTGATACTTTTATGTGATAATGTGATTTACTGAAGTAGCTTAATATATATCTCAAAGAGGTAGCAGCAAAGTGTTTTTATTTCTACCCACTGTAAACTATAAAGCATTTATTTATTAATTTGTTGACAATATTGGGATTGTAAACTCACACTGCTGTTGTTTTTTTTTCTTAAAAAGATGTCTCTGTATGTACAGCTGAGCTCTGATTGTGTCTTTAAGACCTTGACCTCTCTGCTAAGCAATACTTTTGATCCATTTCCAGATGTTTACTTTGAAGGCTAGCAACCACACTGACTATTGACTAGGTATCTAAATGATGTGACTCAAAATCTTTACAAAACATGGACATTAATGTCAGAAAAATGAAGGTGATGCAGAAGTGCCTTGATCCTGCATTATATCTGAAGGCCACCAGAGGGCGATAGCTGCGACTGTTACAAAAAAACTATTGGTCCTATAGAAATCTATGGGAAAACGGCTCAGTCTTCAGCTCTGTAAACACACTGAGTTTATGAGCTCAGTCACTCATTTTTAGTCAAAAGGTCTCACAATGACTATCCACATATTATCGGCAGTTATCTCAGTACGCCAGTGAGTTTATTAGGATATATTTTAAATTTTTCATTGTCTGGTTTATGTGGCAGATATCCGATGGTTTCCCAGACAGCGAATAAAAAATGGATGTAGCTGATGTAACATCACCCGTCGGATTTTGAAGGCTTTAAGCTAGCATTTGATCATTATCAGCTAAGACATCAGCTAGCTAGCCTGGTTAAGCTGTAATTGTTAACTAGAGGGCAATTTATATATTCGATAAATAGTGCAAATATAATAATATAATAATAGACAAATAAAATACTATCATTGCAGTTACGAAACGTGTTGAACTAACATCAAGCCTCAAGTGGCCGTTAGAGGAACTGCAGTTTTTATCACTTCTGCTTGGCTTCATTTTTCAGTGCTGGATTTTACTTGATAGGAGATGGGATTAAAGCATTAAACGGAGGAGGGGGAGAAACAGCAATGACAGAAATGGGTTTTGGTTTTCTTATAATTATTATACAAATTATATTTCTTAGTCCTGCAGATGAGCTGCGGTCAACTTTGTGCTGGTGGGGATTGTGTTATTTGTTTATTCTGGTCTGGCACTTGCTCTCACTGGTAGCAGCTGTACTCATAAAGTACTTAACAAATGAATGTCATCAAATTTTATTATTTTGTAGCTTATTTGGATAAAGTGTGATCTTTCCTTTTGCCTATGAGGAAATTATCCTTGCCTGAACTCCCGCTCTCTCAACTTAACTTCCAAATTTTCGGCGCTGCTTTTTATTTACGTTTCCTAGCAACTGGTTCCTGTTTGGCTGCTCGATATCTGCAGAGGCATGAAATGTAAAAATTACACCAAATTAATTACCGAGCTATTGCAGCGCCTTCCTCCTTCCTTTGTTGCTTTCTCGTACCTTTTATCAACACACAGGGAGGCAAAAAAAAAAAACAGAGGTCGAGAGAAGAAAAAGCTTTTAGTGTGATTGCTTCTCTAAATCACGGGACAGCTAAGAAGGAAGAGAGAAAGAGAGGAGGTGAAGGGAAAGATGATGAACTGCATTATGAATTTCAGCGTGGTAATCCCCACATTCAGCAGAGTCTAACCTCAGCTCTGCACACTCATTTTTCCTCCTTCCTATCTTCCTTATTCTCCTCCTGAAGGAGGGATAATGCTTTAAATATTCCATATATTCCTCCTGTCATCTCTCTTTCACACTTAATAAAAAATGTCATTTTCAAAACAGTATGTCGCCAACATATTTTAGAGAATGAAGCTTGTAGCGGTTTCTTCGAGGCGTAGCTGCTGTGTAGGCAGAACCACCACCACCATCTTGAACAGACAGCTAATATATTGCACCCTTAGTAGCTTTTCAGAATCAATGAAAAGTTGGCTGTTCTGTCCCAGCAGGACCTTTTAGCCCCACACTTTGAAGATTAACTGAATTAACGAGATTATTTCAGCTTCTAAAGGAACTCCCGTTTCCAAGAAACATTTACAAAACCTGCAAAAAATCAGGTTCTTCTTAATATTAAATGGCTAGATCCCCACATAAGGGATAACACTTTTTTTTAACCAGTGCGCCCATGTGTTCCTGCTTGTTTTTATCTCTCTTTCCTCCCCGATTAAAGAGAATCTGCTGTCTGCCTACATAAAAAGTCAAAAACACACTTTTTTTGATCCTCAACACACACCGTAAGTGAACACCCTGTTCGACAGCCTGGCGCTTTTTTAGATGAAAGTACGTCTCTCTTCACACCACATGTTACGGTGCTGGAACAACACATCCTTTTGCTCCTAACACTGTACTTGTATCTTCAGCTCCCGTCCCGCTGGGTTTAGCACAGAAACAATCTTCGCAAGGGTTTTTTTTGTTTGTTTTTATCCATCTATTGGCCCTCGCTTCTTCTTAACAACCCAGTTCACTTATCCTATGTCTGCGACTTATCTGCTCTGCGGCAAATTAGTCTTCATGGCCACACTCTGCCTGTATGTGAATGCAGATTTGGGCAATTGTTTGCCAGATTACATGGAAATGCTCCCTTTTACACATGCACTATAGTGCAATTTTGGCAGGATTTACCAAGAAAAGTTACATTGGGGTGTGTATGTACTACCAAGGCAGCTGAAATAAGAAACAAAATCAAAAGAAAATGTAAAAAAAAAGAAGAAAAAACACAGTAGGCGCTGCAGCAACACGCCTATAATTCAGTATACAAGGCAAACAAACACAGAGTTTTATAGGTTTATCTTTTTTCATTCACTAAATATTTAAAACAAGCGTCACTTGACTAGTCATCATAAATGGTGATAATTTATGCTTTTTTTTCTCAGGATGATGGAATACCTGAAGGACTGCTGTAGGGAAGAGAGATGTAGCTGAAGTTTTTTTCTCTGTGGTTCCTCTTTTTCCGTCCACCAGGGGGAGCTCTGACTCAATAGCACCGAGAAATAAGTTTGCCAACTGGGAGTCAGGAGATGAAAGGTTCCCATCCTCCATTTTTCGCAGTCCATCCATGCAGCAGGTTAGTCAAGTGTCAGAGCTGAACCACTGCTGATCAGAGTCATCTAGGCTGTCCACACAGGCATGGACAAACTGATCGGCGGGTCCATGGATCAAAGACCGCAGGGCATTTTGTCCGGTTCCAAAAGTCAAGGTCCTTAATGGAAAAAAAAATACCCAGAAAAAAACCCCACACTCAAACTTTTCCTGTTTCCGTGTCAGTACACAGATCCCAACCATTCATTCATTTGTTCATTCATCCATGGCAATTCCATATTTCATGGATACTAAAGGGAGAGAAAACAAATGATAAAAACTCGAGAGAAAGAAGGCAGAAGATAAGCGCTGATAGAAAATGCATTTTGCACGCTCAAACTAAGAACAGCATCTATTTTCTTTAACAGTCATTCATTGACATTCATCCGGTGTCGCGTCTTCTGCTGAGCTCAGATGCATAGACTGAATGCAGAGAGAGGTGGAGAGGCGGAGGAGGGAGAGAGAGAAAAGAGATGGGAGAGGCAGAGAGGCGGGAAGGCGGCGACGGGAGAGGATGGAGAGAAGGTTAAAAGAGAAGGGAAGAAGGGCAGTGAAAGATGGAGGGAGGGCGAGAGAAAGGTGAAAGAGAGGCGCTGCTACTGAGAGTGAGAGAGGATGAACATGTAGGGGAAGAAAAAGAGAGAGTGTGCGCTATGTGCCAGAAAAAAGGTTAGAGCAGAGAAAAAGAGAGACAGATGGAGTGTGTGCTCCAGCAGTGATAAAAAAGGAGGAGAACAGTGAGCGGTGAGGAGGAAGAGGAGGAGGAGAAGGAAGGTGGCGCAGACGTCACCTCCTCTCTGTGACCAAAGAGACGGCGGAGGAGGAGGTGGAGGAGGATGAAAAAAAAAAACGGAAAGTCTTTCACGCCACGTCACTCCACATCATCACGGACGGACACACAGAGAGGAATTTGATTCTCATCCATCCTCCCGGTTCTCAGGCTAAAACCTGGGTATCCAAGAATTCCAAACTTGTACAGACGTTCGGGAATGTTTACGTTCTTATATCCATCCACTGATTTCTGAAACCCTCTTTGTTCTGGAATCTTAATGTAACAATGTTGAGGTCACTTCAATCATAATCCTTAATAAAAAGGGAAAGGGGGGGGGGG